CGGATGTTAGCTCAGGGCCAATCTTCCTCAGCAAAAAGAGGAGGATTGGCATCAGATGTTAGCTCAGTGCTGATCTTCCTCACAAAAAAAAAAAACAAAAAACAACAATCAAATTGTTATGACCGCTCATCTGCAACAAGCGTGCTACAAAACAGAGCAGTATCGTTACTCTTCGAAGGAAAATTATTTTGACCTGCAATGCAATACCCAGCCAAACTACTACACAAGTATGAGGGCAAAATAAAAATCTCCTAAGACACAGTAGGGCTTAGAAAATTTACAACCCACAGAATTTTTCTGCAAAATGAACACAAGGGCATACTCTGGTAAAACAGGAAATAAATCCAAAAAAGAAGGAAAATGTTGGATACAAGCAACAGTAATAAAACTTATAGTTGTCTTATTTGTTAATGCATCTGATTTTTAAAAAAATCATTGTTTAAAAAGAAGACTACATCAAAATTTAAAACTCAGGTAACAGAAAAAAGTATGGAAAATATGAAGAGGAAATTCACAGAAGATACACAAATGGCCATTTTTTTTCCCCCCAAAGCCCCAGTAGATAGCTGTATGTCATAGCTGCACCTTCTCCTAGTTGCTGTTTGTGGGACGCGGCCTCAGCACGGCCGGAGAAGCGGTGCGCGGGTGCGGGCCAGGCAGCGGATCCGAACCCCGGCCGCCAGTAGCTGAGCACGCGCACTTAACGGCTAAGCCACCGGCCGGCCACCACAAATGGCCATTAAACAAATGAAAACATTCTTATTCATTAGTATCCATGCAAATGTAAATTAAACAAGATATAGTTTATAAACTATCTGTTTGGAAAAAATGTAATATCCAGTGTTGGAGAAGATGCCTTGATATAGGTAGTCTCATTCCCTGCTTATGGGAACAAAAACAGATAAAGCCTTTTTGGACAGCAGTTTGGCAATATCAGCTAACATTTCAAATATGCGCAGGCTCTGAACCATCAATTCTAAAACTCTAATTCTGTAATTCTAAAGAAATGCCATACACGTGCGCAAAGATTTAAATACTTGCCCACTCTACACGGCATTGTAATAACAAAAAAAAAAAAAAAAGAAATAATCCTCATTACATCCGTTAACAGGACAATGTTAAGTAATGGTGATGGCGTCCATAATATAGAGCACTAAGCAGCCATCAGAAAGCCACAGACAGGTGCATACTGACACCAAAAGATATGTAAGCCACGCTGGGAGCTTTAAAAATTCTGTAGCACAACATAAATGGTTTAGACCTTTTTACGTAAAAATAGTTAGACGTGTCTATTTATATGTGTGTGTAACTGAATGCGCAGAGCCTGGAAGGAACGCCAAGACGTTCGTTCACTCGTGGTTACTTCCGAGTGCGGAGTGAGAAAGCAAACATTACGGTCATTCTTTTTTTTTCAACATTTATTTAAGCACCTACCAATTCCAGGCCCCGGGGATAAGGCGGTCAACAACCCAGAGTCCACGGCTGCACGAGGGCCCGGAGTGCCGGTTCTCAGTGTGGTTGCTGCCGTGTGCCGGGCGGGCGGAGTGCGCACTCGGGTTTGTGCCGAATAAACAAGAGAGCAAGTGGCTTATGCACACTCGTGTACAAAACGACTTAGGGGCGGGGAGTAATGAAAGCACAGCTAAGAGACTAAAGTGACCACCCAGGTGAAGTCCGTTGCCAGCGACCACGCGCCTTCCGAATTCACGCCCCGAAACTGCCTTCGCGAAGCTCCAGCAGCGAGAAGCCCGCGGCCCCTCAGCCTCACCCCGGCCCCAGGAGATCGAGAGAAGCTCCTGCTGAAGTCCCGCGGGCCGGGGCGCAACCGTGTTACCTGGAGGGGGACCCGGACAGTCCCGCACGCGGCAGAGCCAGGTGAAACCAGGACACACTGACTGCTCCGCGGTTGCCGCTCGCCTGGCGCACAAATCTCACAATCTCCCACGCCGCGCGAGGGGACACCGTCCCCGCGCCTCCCACGGAGAAGGAATGGGCTCGAGGCCTCCGGGGGCCCAGCGCGTCTCCACCCCCCGCCCCGCCTCCCTCACCTCTCGCGGCGGCCGCGAGCGCCGGCGCCCGCAGGCAGCGGCCCCAGACCAGCACAGCCCGCAGCTCACGCGCCATGTCCGTCCTCCCGAGCGCCCACCTCAGC